TCCAACATTTAAATTACAATGTCTAATTATTTCAGCTGGTTACTTGGTATTAGCATAAACTCTGTAGGTCTGAAACTGCCAGGATCAGCCCCCACACCTTTTTGTAAAGGTTAGTACATGTCGTACCCTTTTATTTTCTGGTAGACTAACTGATTTTAGTAAGTTGGGGTTTTTTTGACAAGATGTTGTAGCACAGGCCCCTTCCTTAAATCCACTTCCAACTCTTGACTGAACAAGAAGAGGTCCCAATGACTTCGTTTTTTATTTTGTCAATCTGTTCCAGGACCTACTTTTCTGACACCAGTCACAGTGACTTAGCTTTATTAAGTGAAAAGAATATGCCTGAGGTTAGTATCTCTTCCCTTGTAAAGACTGATAAAAAAAAAAAAAAAATCACATTGCTCTACTGCTCTTTGACTGCATTATGTTCACATTAAAATAGCAGTCAATCATTTGGATCTTTACAATCACAAAACCAAGTCAATAACAGGTGTTGTTTTTCCAAAGCACAGTTAATTTGCCAGAATTATGCAAGAGAGAAAACACGATGATGCACCTCTTTCCTCACTCTGATGCATGTCCTGCTGCCCAACAGATTTTTAATTCAGGTGAAAAATTAAAAAAAAATACTGATAAAAATTTATTAACAAAGACACATACAGAGACATGCGAGATATCAATCAACATAGCTCAGGATAATAAAAATCAGTTATATGTATTGCACCCAGTATAAAAGACAATAGACAGGGTGCAAGATCTGTGATTATTTCCCATAGCCTGTAACAGCAAGAAATTGCAACCGAACTGAAAAGTTACATTTAGAAAACACTTTAGAAACAGTTTATGTTAAAACTGTTTACACAGACCCATTACACTCCATACTATGATTTCCAATACTACAGGACTGAAAACCATGGGCCAGTCCAACCCTGTAGTCCAACAATTCTCTCCTCAGTGTAAATTTTCCCAGTGTCCATTTTATTAGCTCTGTACTATTTTTCGCATCCAGGACTACTGAAGCTTTTTTACACTACTTTTTACCTTAAGGAATTAGCTGTTTTCCTGTTTATAGGTAGTTTTGAATTAGGAATGTTAACTGGAGGTTAGATAGGCAAGTTTTTACCACAGGTGTTCTACTGCATAAACAGGACTAGATAACCATGCATATAAGTAGATTAGTCAGTCCTTCTCTTTCCTATAGATCCTATTTATATCTATGGATATAAAAAGACAGGTCATAGCTTTCTCCCTGGCTAACCAACTGAAGTACACCGTTGGCCAGTTGTCAGAATCAAAATCTCAAAAATCAAACAATGAAAGCTTTGCACTATGTATGTTTTCTGACAGCTATTACCATGCTTTACAGAATGAGCTCACACAATCTGTGCATACAAGCTTTTTTCCTTTGTTGGCTGTTAGAATGAATGAGTGAAATATAATGAAGCATTAGAAATGTACAGTTTCTTAGCAGAACTCTGCATGCATTTTCACTTTGCTCACTTTACTTGGAGCAGCATTGCTGTTTTTTAGAATCAAAAGTGCTCTGCAAAATGTGATTCTAATACCTGGTGGACAGCACATTACCAAACTTGACCATAATGCATTCAGTTGCATACAGCATTCTAGCAGCAAATTCAGATTTCAACCTTCTTTAATTCTAAGACAAACAAAACAAGAGCTTAGAATAAAAGTTCAACTTTGAGAAACAAAAACCAATGCCTTCAAATACAAAAAACTGAAATATTTATTCAGTGTTTTCTTTTTTTCTTAAAGTTTCATGAAATGGCCCCAAAACCTAAACCAACAAAAGTCGGCAAGCGTAAAAATTCCAGATTCCCAGGAGGAAAAAAGGTAGGAAAGAACATGCAAAGAGGATTTACAATGTTTGTAAAGGATTTATTTTGCTCAGCTTCTTTTGTGCCAAATGATGCATCACAACATTTACAATCATTTTGAATAACAGAACAGCAGCATTTTCTTCTTTGTAAAAGATTTCAAAATAATGGATTTGCTGTGATAACCTGCAATGCCAATTATAAACTAAAAGTGCTTCACAATGTCTATCTTCAGCAGCAGGACTAACTCCCTCAAAGAAAAGCAAGTAAACCCTCATACTGGGAGATGGTTCTGACAAACAAAAGGTTTCCCCCTCCCCCCCACAACACTGCTGCTACTTCTCTATATAAGAAGTAATGTTTACAGAAGGGTCAGTCTTCAGAATGGTGTTTGTGCCTGAAAGCATTCAAAGAACAATGTTTCCAACTATTTAGGTCTAATAAAAGATACCACATCTACCCAAAGAACCTGTCTGCCTATGTCCTTAGGCCCACAGGGCCACAACCAACAGCCCTAATGTTTCCATTAAGCATTATGGCTTTCATTCTGAGGAGACCAAAATGCTTTACATAAACTGATATTTTAAAATGTGTGTGTGTGAGATCAGAGTTTCATTGCCAACTGACATTGTGCCACCATTCCTACGACCATACCATAGGGCAATAACAAATCCTTTTGATCTGAACAAACATAGTATCCTTTAGATATGGCAAATTTCAGGAAACAGAGTATAATTCACCAAATAAGAACCAGTCTAAGATACTATAATTCAATATCTTACAGTTGCAAAAGTGCCAAGGGAACTTTTAATCACTGAAAGTCATAAGGACCTTAGTGTCATGTCTTATCCAAGAGACAGCACCTCTAGCAGGAAATCCTGACAAAGTCATGGCAGTGATATGATAGGATCAAACTACAGAAGGATTCTTTAAAAAACTGACCTCATTCCAGGTGGCACTACATCTAAACACATACATGCACTCATGTCTTTGTGGCAGCCCCTCTTTCAGAAGTCTGCCTAAACTTTTATGTCAAAAGGGAAGCAACAATTTAGAAATACTGTTAAAAAAAAAAAAGTTGGTTTCCTGAAAAACCCAGATTCCACCTGTGCAATATACGAAAAGGATTTACGGGCCCATGTTAGATCAGGTCTGTTATCAGTTCAGTCCGCTAATTGTCAGGGCTCAGGACAAAACAAGTTTGGAATGTGTCACTCAAAACCACAAGACTATGGTAGTATGGTACTGCCTGATTGCCAAACCTTTGCCAGACTTTCAGACCGAGCGGTTCTGTAACTAAAAATTAATAGGATGTGTCTGAGAAGAGCAGAATATACGCCTTTCCCCATCTTCCAAACCTTCAATAAAATGAACATGTACAGAGAAACACTGCCTTGAAATGAAAGCTTCATCACATTATAAAAGTACTGAATGTAAGCTTCATCTTCCTGTCACCTTACCAAGACTAAATTTGGAAACGTGCTGCTAACATGGGTTACTCTGAGTTTTGGGGGTTTTTTAATAGCAGGAAGCAACAGGAATGCAACTCATCTTTTTTGGATTATCTATCTAAACCAATTTAAACAGACTAAAAAAAAACCCCACAGGACTTGATGTCTTACCACAATATTACTATACTGACACGTCAAACCATCCTGTTTCCATTCTTAGAACAAAAATTCTGCTGGTAGGACATTAAAGTGGTAGGAGGGATAGATTGGGCTATTATGAAGGCTTTCATCTCCAATTCAGTCTAAATCAGTACAACCCAAAACCCAGTGCCACCTGAAAACTGCCTGAAAATGACTTGCTTGAAGTTAGCTTCTGATCTCAACCTAGTTTCTACTGAAGAAATACCCATATAGGACTAGAGGAATATGAGAAAGAAAAAACAGTACAGTGCCAGAAACATGTGCCAGCAAATGCAAGTTAGTATTAGAGCTGTCCCTTGATAAAGCTCAGAATCACAGAGAACACAGACTCATGGAGAAGTAGAGCTAAAAGGGACCTCCTCCACAGTCATCTAGTCCAACCAGCTGCCCAAGGCCAAATCACTCTTACCCCAACCAGGCAATACAATTTTATACAGTCATCCCTATGCAAATGATCCTAAACAACCACAATCTGAACTCTCCATCAGACTCCTGTCAACCCTGACAACACAGACCTAATCCCCTAACCCACCACCGACAAAGCTAAGGAGTCACGGCTGCAAATATCCTGCTTCTCCAAAATCTCATCAATACATGCTTGAGAGATCTGGGGACCGAAAAACTTATCTTAACCACCCAACAAAAAAAAGAAGCAAATGCACGTCAAAAAAGAAAAATCCTGTTGAGGCTCTCTAATGCCTATCGCTGATAAAAGCACAGGCAGTTGCATGCAAGAGCCTAAAAATGCTCAGACTCATGTGCCAGGTACAGATATTACACTTTTACTGGTGTAAGTGATTGAAAACTGGTCTATACCCATAACAGCACAGAAGTTCACACACTTGACACACACACACACCCATTTAAAAATGCCAGAACCTAGTCTAAGATTTATGTGCCCCACCCACCCACCACGGGGCAAATGTGCGTTCGGGTCCCAACCAATCTAAGCCACGCTGCTTACAGAAACCCGTGTAACAGACTGATTCCTCCTGGGGCCTTTCAAACATTTGAACCAAGCTACAGACTCATAGAGCAGCAAGGTGGGAAGAAGGAATCTCCAGAGGCCATCTAATCCGGAGTTTCTCAACCCGTGGATCGTGACCCAAAAGCAGGTTGCAAGAATATACAACGGAGTCAGGAACAAACTTTAAAAATGGACCCTCCTTAAAAGGAGAAAAACGTAGGTTTCCCCTTGCCGGCTAGGGCCGCTTGGGGCCCCACACTCCGGAGGACGAGGGCTGGGTGGCAGCGGGTCAAGACCGTGGGGCAGCGGCTGGGGACCGCCCATTGACGTTTCCAAACGGGTCCTGGTCCCAAAAAAGAGGCCGAGAAGCGCTGCTCTCAACTCTGCCTACGACTCACGCGAGCCCCGCGGCCGCGCCCCCCGACGCCGCCCGACTCCAGCCCCCGCGGCGCCTTCCTCAACCCCTGCTGGGGGGGGCGGGGCGCCCCCACCGAGACAAAAGGAGCCCCCTCGGCCCCCCCCACGCAGGGTCCGTCGGTCGCTCACCCAGGTAGTGCCGCCGCAGCAGGCCGGGCTCCTGCAGCCCCAGGCTACGCTTCCTCACGTCCCACAGCAGGTG